TGACGACTCTATAGAGAGCCTATCACAGCAACACGATCCTCGAGAGTAATCCGGCTACGTCACTGCTAAATTAGAGGATAGATCGAGTTAGGCACAAATAGCGAGTTAAGTGCAAGGTAAGTCACAATCCCGAAGCTCGCGCAGTGCCGGCCCAGAAACGAGCACTCTCTACCTTATCTCGTGCTCTGTCTTCTCCTCTTGTTCCTTCTCCTTGGACTCCTTTTCCTCCACTATCTTGTGATAGAAATCTTTCCACATAGTCTCCTCGTCCATCCTGGCAGGTGTGTTCCACGCACAACTGGGCTTACAACAACATCCTCCTCGGATGAACAACACTTTCTCTCTGGCGGCACCGTTCTACCTTCCCACTGATCAGGGAAATCCCATCGTGTCTGATGCGAACAGAAATTCCAGCAAACGTTTGACGCCGGTATGTCAGCTGCGGTCAGACACCACTGTCGTCAATAGTCAGACACTTGGGAACACCTTGTTCTAGCAGCTTCTATTCCAGCCGGCAGATGGCGGACGCTCCCGGATTCGGATCTTATCCTCGATTCAAGAATTTATCGAGTGTTCTTATTCCACGTGATAGCAAAGAGCTCGTCGAATTTGCGGAAATAACAGGCGCGTTAATCGCGACAAAGATTTTTGATTATGCTCGCTGAATCTGGACTCCGGGTATTCTCGCTGGCGCCATACCTCTTGAATAGCACCACTGAGTCAATACGATGGCTGTCTTCGCGATGACATCATTCTGTACCTACAGCAAGTGCTTTTGACACTGAATACGCGAAGTTCTTGCCAAGGCTGATAATAGAAGAGACGGTCTCAGCAAATTCATCTAGGGTTTTTAGCATTTCGATGAATGTTTGAAAGCAGCTGTTTTCAACTCTCTCAGAGAGTCGGCTTTTGTCTTTTTCAATTCGTATCTTAACTGATTTCTTATTTTTATGATACTTTTGTTATTGTGGTTTGACTGAAACAATGGGAATCTTTTATAGAGTCAATTTTGATAATTTGTGCGTCGGATGTTAGAGCCACTTCAGCGCAGGCGTTGGCCCGCCATTTTATTAGGGATGCGGATTTACTTGCGGTCACCGCCATTTTTTGCTTCTATAGTAGCGTATTATAATTTGAAAATATTTTCAACAGAAATGACTGGAGTTTCTAATAGTAATACTAGAATTATACAAGAATAATAACAGTAAAATTGAATGTTATTTCGCTTAATTCTAATATTTAGTCTCTTTCTCCCTTTTCTCGGAACCTTATCGAACGTCAGATAATTTTACTGCGTTCTTATCACCTCCAAAGATTCTTCTAAGAAGAAAAATGTCAAAGCATCGCAATAATTCAAGACAAACTGTCGAATTTTACTTTATTGGCAGTTAAATAAAGTTATATATACCTGAGACAGTCTGAGCAGAAACATAATGCAGAGACGCAACGTTCATCATGTATTCTACACCAATTTTCCTTTTGTTACTTTTTGGTAAGTATTCCCTTGAACCGAACCAAATGAAGTTTCTCAAACTTCTTATCTTTTATAATTCTACACAGGTGCACTTGCACAATGTTCGAGCTTCAGAGATCAGAATCGAAATGACACTCTGATTTTATCCAAAATTGTCAGAAGAACTCCCAATTCCTTGCTACTAGTGAGTCCGAAGCAGGTGAAGATTTTAGAACGGACGATTAAACGTTTCCTGTCGAAAACGGCGCAGCCGATCGACAGGCCAATTCTACTGAAATCGAAGAGAAACAATATGCAACTGTCGATCAGATGTATGTGTGATTCAATGCGGAATAGCCTCATGGAATTTGCGAAAGATTGCAATCTGACTGCCAGTGTGTTACGGTACAAGCAAAGTCCGAGCGAACTTCCGGTCTCTACGGACTGGTTCTCCGAGGTTTTGCTGCAGATCACCTTTTTGTTACGGGACGTGGGTGATATGATCAACGAAATCGGCGACAAAATTAACAAACATTTTGGCGGACACAATACGACATCACGGAAAAGTCAGGTTTGTTTAAAAAATGTATTAATTTGAACGTCTTACTTGTTATGAATTTTTGTGACCACCTAAATAACATTAAATTTCAATATTTTTATTTCTTACACGATGGCAATGATTTCCATATGCAATCGAATTATAATTTTTAGCAATTAATTAAAGAATCGGATGGATTCGAGTTCATGGGTGTCGTCTACGATGCAGCAGACTTCGCGGAAAGACTGTCGCGATGTCTGCTACGCATGTCGATGACAAAACGGCGCAAATCATCCATCGACCTCAACCACGTCGTGCTGAATATTACAAAGAATACTCCAGAGCTCGCAGTGAAAATTTTCGAATCGAGTTTTCAAAATACTTCGCCCGACGATATTCCAAAAAATCGTGCACACAAATCCTGGCACGGGTATCTTTGCGTATCGTTGATAAAAGAGCGAGAAGTCGATTACGACGATTGCGTCCGAGATCTACAGAACCTCGATAAGTGTCTTCGGAGCTTGAAACGGCGATCGGAGAATCATCCGAGGAACATCGAGGAAAAAAGATGGTTGAGAGCGATCGAGCAGCTCAGCGATTGTGACGCGAACACGGATGAAAGAGGGAAACAGAAGATATCTTGCAGATGGAGTAACAAAATGCCGCGAACGGTTCAGCAGAAGGTGAAATTCTCATTCGAAAAAATGTTTCCTAAGAGAATACCAAAGCGATCGCCTTTCCATCGAGCTGTTCGAGATCTAAGTTACACTTTGTCGAAAAAATCGTGGGGCCAAAGGTTCGCGAATGAATTATGCCAATTCTGTATGATTTATGACGACGGTCTGAAAAAGTTTCAGAAAGTCTCGGCGATCGCTGCGCGAGACAGAAGTGCTGTGGCAAAGTTAGTAGCCGAACTCAATTTTTACCCATAAGTCTGATTCCATAAAGTAGAACAATGTGTAATTTCACTTAAATTCGAATTTTGTACAATGCTGATGATTTTTACTCGCTAATTTATTTCCATCTAGACAGAGGAAGCTTCACAAAGCTCTGCAAGTGTACAGAAGAGGAATTTTCGAAAGATTGTTTGGAGCGATCGGTGGGTTGCATCGTTCTATGACCGAATTCGAAAAGTTCCTCGTGCATGGGATACAGAATGTCCTGAACGAGTCCTGGCAGAGCCACGTAAGGATCCTGTCGTGTATGATTGAGTGGATGAACCAAGTATTACAGTTTTATTCGGACGACAACAGTAATTACGAACAGAAGCCAGTAGACACGAGTACAGCGGTGGAAGAAGCAAATGGCAGCGATGACTCGAGTTCAGATTATTCGTCGAGTGACGAGGATGACACTGCTGCAGCTCGTTCTGCAGGTATCATTTACTTTCTTAATTAAATTGCCATTTTGTCATTTGATTTAAAAGAAACACGTCTCTCTTTTAACCCTTTGCACTCCATAGGCTCCTCTCAGTCACCACTCGATTTGGCGCAGAAAAATTATGGAGTACAATGTTTAATGTTAAATTTCGCGTGATGCATTAATATGTGAAATATTAAAATAAAACAGCCTCTTTCTTCAATTTATGTACGATTTCTCGTGAAGCTAGTTTCAATAAGTGTTGGGTACTTTTGGTAGAAAACTCTCGGAGTGCAAAGGGTTAATTACACCGTACCTTAAAGTATCAGTTGATATTAAAATATTGAATGAAGAATTTGAAATCATGAAGCAATGTTTCAATGTTAAACAACAGTGGTTTCTTTGCAGTGATCCTGAAAAGGGCGGAGGCATCCATGGACAATTTAATTGAATCGATGGATCGAGTCGGCAAAACTCGAAGTACAAACGACACGAGCTTGTTGGCCGGTTTGGCGAATAATCTTTTGTTGGTTACAATGTTCATAGAAACCCTGGGCTTTGTTTCTACTTTGTACTGCTTTGGCCATGGAATGAAAAACGAAACGCAGTCTCTGAATTTTGAGGAAGATAGGGGGCTCGCTCGTCGAGCGGTGATCCCATTGGATAGCGAAGGTCCTTTCGATTCGATTTCAAAGCACTTCGATCCCTTTGAAGCTTACGAAAATCTGACAGTAGTTATCTATAACTGAAATCGTTATGTCCAATGAGTGAATAGTGTAACTAATAAAATGGAAAAGAATCATATATAATCATATTCCTTTCCCGGAAATTTATGTTTCGTTATGATTTGAATGTATTTGTTATAAAATAAATGTAATGTTTGATTCATTATCTTGGTGAACTTTTATTCTCCTTTATGTATCTCCGAATAATACAATGCGTATAAAAAAAATAAAGAATATATATAATGAATTGATCGTGTATATTATAATTACTTGCAACTTTGTATAAAATTTATCGAGTCGTACGTGAAACAATATTTTTAAACGTTTGCAATCATGTTTACCGGGCTTGGTCTTCCATTTTACGTTTTAAATTATTTTTATCTCAGAGGAAGATATTTTTTATGAGTCAGAGAACTGATGTCGCTTGACATTATTTTGTAGCTCATCAAATTAATATTATCAATTGTGCAACATTTATGTTAGGAACGCCATAAGCGCCACCATAAATCAATGATATCACATGTTCTGTTTTTTAACTCACCAATGCTCGGATGGTGCAGATAATAATAGCGATAAATTCGCAAAATGCATCGCAACGCGACATTTATAGCTTCTGAAGATGCAAAGCGCTCGGTTTGTCACACAGATTTATTCAACGTGTTCGTGCTAATGGTGCATGTTGTAAAATGCCTGCTGAACCTACAATTCTTCGTTTACTGTGCAAGTATCGCCACTTTTCATACATATTTATAAAACACAGAATTTTTTAACACCACACGCTTTCTATCCTTAATTCGAAAATGTAGAAATATTTTTCTACCTTCGCAGGTTTCATTGTTGCAGTAAGAATAGAGAATGTCGCGTCGAATGCTAAAATCAGAATAGTAGGCGGCACTTCTGTTGACATCAACCAAAGACCATACATGGTGCGATTAATTTCTTCTAGCAACTTAAATTTCGGAAGTAGTTGAAAATCATATGATTAATTTCAGCTGTCTTTACACTATTCTCACGGGTTCGCATGCGGCGCTAGCATATTGTCTGCCAGATGGGGTATAACTGCTCTACACTGTTTGCAAGTTGAACATTTTATTTCTAGCAAAGGAAACACTTATTTTCATTTCAATATTAACACGTCCCGTGCCGGATCATTTTTTTAAGTCCCTTCAGGCCGTATGGGGCGTATACGACCCACATTATTACAGTCAATTAAAATTAAATAACCGCAGTGTACATGATATTGAAATACCTATCTTTGACTCTACAATAAATTTTTAAAAAGATCTTCGTTTTTCATTGAGAATTCACTTTCGGTCTGAACGAAAAATTCAGCACGGATCGTGTTAATTGAATACATTTTCCAGGACGTTGGATAAGACAAGGAATTATCATGTACGTGCTGGATCGAACTCGCCTTATCGAGGAGGATCGCGGCATGGCTTGACAGAAGTGCACGCGTACAACGCGACAGCGTTTCTTCATTGGTTCAACAGTATGTTCTACTATGACATTGCACTTTTCAAAGTGTGGCCGCCTTTCCGTTTTTCGCGCAGAGTAAAGGCGGCCCAATTGCCGAAGGAGTCCAGTAGGCCACCACGGAGATTGAGTGTCTGTGGATGGGGTTATCAAGAATTTCAACAGAATGTTAGTGAATTCCTCCATAAAATTTGGAATTTCTTATTCCAGGATCAAAGTTTCGAACTGAAGACTATATCTTTTTCTAGGCAAAAGTTAGCAACACTCTAATGGGAGTCACTGTTCGCCATGTACCATATAAAGTATGCGTCAATCAAACTAAAGACTACCAGATGCTAGTAGATAAAGAGCATCATCTTTGTTACGGAACTCCTGGAAAGGATTCGTGTTCCGGCGACTCGGGAGGTCCTTTGGGAAGCAAACATACGATTTATGGTGTCGTGTCCTTTGGTCAAAACTGTGGCGTAGTATCCGGGATTTATGAGAATATCTCCTACTATCGTGGTTGGGTCAAGAATATTACAAATATATGATTAAAATCAACATATTCCTTGTTGTCAATGAAATTTTCAATATTTCTTTGTGGTCTGTAAAGAAATAAATTATTTGTAAAGTTCTCAAGTGAATCCCTGGAGAAATCATTTGCTAATGAATAGTTAGCTTTCGAATGGATTGTATTCTTTATTGCCGTACAATGACGAGTAAGGCTTGCGATGAAGATTTGTAAGCTAATTTAACCCTCTATGGACCCAATTTTTGTTCATAATTATAACAAAATCTATGTAGCGCGAAATTAATAAATATCCACATCTGCATACGAATTAACAATGTATTCGATAGTTTCAATAACTTCATCAAACGAATATATTTTGTAACTTTCAAGTTACAATGACGTTAAACTTAAGTTAATTGATTACTTAATTTTATTCTCCACTTTGAGTGCAAAATGAAATAAATCAACAAGACACCAATATACTGATATGTGACTTCAAAGTTACATGGGCCTACAGAGGGTTAACAAAATCAGTGTTGTTCATTACCCACGGATCAAGGCAAACAACTATTTCGCTATTATCAATGTATTATCTTCAAATGAAATTTCCACCTGAAGTAGAGTGGAAAATTTTGTTGTATTTCTTACAAATTGTCGATAGTAAAATATTACGCGAGCTTAGTAACGAAAACAAATAGTACGCCAAGGGGCCAAAGGATTCTCTTGGCAGGATAACAAGGAAATTATACGTTCGCATGGAGCTAATTCCACGATTGGAAATCCTTGTTACAGAAAATGCTTGAAAATAGTCGTGTCCAGGAAAGAGGTAAAAATGTAGACCCCGCGGCGTTCAGGTTCGATGCACGCCGGAAGTCCATTATCCACGTTCTGCGCAAGATCCTGTGGCGTACACAGCTACGCGGCGCACGTACCGTGTACTTAGGGCTGAATGAAGTTCGAGGCCCTTGAGTAATACGTAATTAGAAACTATTGTGCACGCGGCTTCGTATTATCGGCACGCATGGGCATCGACCCGAGAATTACTATTTCTGTGCTTCGGCTACACGCATAGATCGGAGATAGATATTCATTTGCATAGTCGGCGACTTGTTTTCAATCTCTGTTAAACAGTAAACACTCTCCACCCATAAAACAACAGCAAACATTCAGTTTCAAGGATTAACCGATAGAAAAATGAATTACATTGGAATACGACCAAATCATTTAATCACTCAAATGCATAAAAACGAAGTCTGATACAGGTAATTTATGTTCAATAACGTTATAGGTTTAACGATTAATTGATCAAAAAATGAATTACATTGGAATATGAACAAATCATTTAATCACTCAAATGCATAAAAACGAAGCCTGCTACAGGTAATTTATGTTCAATCACGTTATAGGTTTAACGACTAATTGATAGAAAAATGAATTACATTGGAATACGACCGAATCATTTAATTACTCAAATGCATAAAAACACGAAGCCTACTACAGGTAATTTATGTTCAATCACGTTAAGTTTAACGACTAACTGATCAAAAAATGAATTAGATTGCAATATGACCAAATCATTGTTGACAGGTTTGACTAATTGATCAAAAAATGGATTACATTGAAGCATAGTCAGAATACCTAATTGCTTAAATGTATAAAAATACAAAGTCCACTGCAGGTAATTTATATTCGGTTGCATTAGAAGTCAGACATCGTCCGAGGAACCGTAAATTCGAGTTGAAAGAGCGAAAGAATTAAATATTCCGAGGCTAGTCCGCTGCGTCGGCTATTATTGTCCGATGGTGGGCACGCGAGCGTTACCTGCTCGCTGTCATTTACTCGGATGACTCACCCACGCACGTTTCCCCGCGTAAACACTGACTGCCGGCTTTTCCGCCGGTGTGCCGAGGGTCTTTAAACTCCCCGGCCACGTGCAACACCGTGAGAAGTGCATTATCGCGCGGGATATTCGTCGATTTATCTCTCTTCGCCAGATAAACACTGTTTACTTCTTACGGGGCGAATGATTTCGAACCAGCTAATCGATTCAATTGTACGCGACAGTGGCTAATTAACCCCTTGGCGTACTATTTACTTTCGTTACTAAGCTCGTGTAATATTTTACTATCGACAATTTGTGAGAAATACAACAAAATCCATTCTACTTCTGGCGGAAGTTTCATTTGAAGATAATACATTGATAATAGCGAAATAGTCGTTTGCTTCGATCCGTGGGTAATGAGTAACATTGATTCTTGTTAAATTAGTTTAGACATCTTCATCACGAGTCTCACTCGTCATTGTACGACAAGGGGTTAATGAATGATAACGTTACATATACGGTAATTTAATATGCATCCTGAACAGAGTGCATAATTTACATCAAGCTGACGTAAATACTTAATTACGAAGGAACGGTTAATTGCAGGAACGATAATCTAATTTCTTTCCTTTCTAAACAAACTGTTGTAAACGCTTGTGCTTAGGGTTCGAAGGATTTAATTGTCTACGGTAATTCCTATGCGAGATTATAATAAATCGATCGATAATCGCGATTAATTAGAATGATCAAAAATAGCTGTGGCAGTTTATGCTTGCGTATAAATGGAATTTCTACCATGATGATAAGCACATTTATTAATCGGAGTCATTTAAATCAGTTACACACGACTGCATCCGAAAGGATCAATACACCGTATGTGCATTCGAATATGTTAGCACATGCCTCACGATCATATGACTCAGAATACATAACTAGCCGCCGTATTCGCTAAAATTTCTACGGTTCGCTGAGCCCAGCTTACAGCAGGCAAAAGTGAAACTAACCTTAAGTCATTTCTCAGTCTGTATATAACGCTTCGAGCAATGCATTTTGCATATAATCATCAAAATTACCCAACACTCGCAACACGTATAATCAAGAGTACGTGTTTACACTCTTAATTACGTCTCTTCATTTATTTTTAAACTCATACTTGCGTTCCTCGAATCGTAAATCGTTATTAAAAATCTTCTCTTTCGACTCACCCTGAAACCACCCCCGGTGCAACTCGATTCCGCAGGATTTTCAGCACTCGACGTCTGAACTTTAAATACCACGCACAACTATACTTCGTCCTGCACTGCGTCTGCAACGCATCGTTTAATTTCTTTCCGTCCTTAAAGTCACTTTTAACGTTCTTTACACTATCAGATTTCGAACTCGAGATCACTGGTTTGTCTTCGGCGGCTGTTTTCTTTGCGTTCTTTACCTTCAGATTATAATTGGTCACGCTAAAGTCAGGCTCTTTGTCCGTCATGATAGAAAGATACTTGTTCTTCAAATAAGCCTCATTATAAACGACCGAAGTTTTCCTGCGACCTTCGAAATTTTGCTTGACGCTCGTGCGCCTCGCGAGTTTCCTGCGCTGTCGTCTTAGTTTCACCAAATCGGTCAACATCATCGAAAGAATCTATTGCCTCGATAATATCCGATCACGATATCACAACCGTCATGCACGTATCACTCGCATCATCGTTTTTAAAGAAAGAAAGCCTTTTCATGATGCCAGCTCGCTTACGATCAAAAGCGACTGAGACGTTTTACGTTCTAAATTGAGATGTCTTCGCTTGTGTGTATATCGAGCGCGTTATAATTGCCAGGTGTCGAAATTGCGGTATTATTATCTTTATCGACGGGAGCGTCACATTTGAATCGGCCACTGTATCAGCGCGAAATTCGCCCCGTGTGTGCGGCGCGCACGGAAGAGTGGAACTAAACAGTCACCACACTAAATATCCGTCGAGCGGGAACTCCGAACTCCGAAAGCGAACGGAGTAGGGGCACTGGAGATTTTTCTTGTTCTCTCTAATCGTGAATTCCCCCGTTACGCCCTATGGCTTTCACACAACGATAAGAAAGCGATAATCACGGTTAAAGAGCATAACGCAGCTGTGCACAGTAAAATATTCATGTGGAAACAATGGCTCGCGACTTCTGAGAAATACATAGGGAAACTTTGTTCTAAAATCGACGAAACAACTGGACCACCGTGTGTAATCGGCCAGTTCAACGTAATTCCCCGGAGAATGATACGAAGATATTTCCGTCAGCTGAAGACAAATTAAACATCCCACGCGTATCACAGTTGCGAAGATACCGAGATTCTAAATGAGAAATGGTTTCTTGAACTCTTAATTGTTAGTTTCTTACGGAATTATCCTTGTATTTAAGTCTGTTTAATTATTATAATAAATAAATAACGGTAATAAACATTGGTGACTTATGAGATTTTCATAGGAGTATAAGTTTGAATGTAGATAATAGGTTGTAATTAGTGACTGAAGCTATTGTGATAGCAAAATGAATCACTTCGCGTTTAGCCAGTGACGTAGACGGGAATAATTAGTTTTAATGATTTTTCTTAGTACTCAAGGATTGTTTTCCCGCTTGGCACAATTGAAAACAGGCAAAGATGTAATTAGATTCATTGTACGACCAATTATCGTCGATATTCTATGCAGCAGAACAGAAGAATCTGAATCAAGCGGAGTCTTCTTTTCGTAACAGCGAGCATTTCATACGTAAATGTTTAAAGAGAGATCCGAAGCAAACATATTTCCTTTTTAAAAGGTTCTAACCAGATTCTAAACAACACAAATATTTTCAAGATATTATTGCAACACTTGTTGTATCGAATTGTGAATAAAAAGCAGGCCATTTACGTAAACAAATGTCTCGGCTATTATTCCAAGCGACTCGTGTGAAATCAAACAACCGCCATTAGCGGGACCAACTGCGGCGCCATATTGTTCGCGAGGAAATTCGCGATCGAGACCCACAAATCGACGAAGGCGACGAAATAATCGATGTTAGAAGCTAAAGGCGCGTTTACTGATCAAAATAAATTGAAAACAAGTATATTTACATAGGTCTGATTCCCACGCAGATCACCTTAGGGATCGTTCTCATTAACGTATCCTCTTTCGCGTCGAACGCGGTCTTCGTATGGTACACATTTTTCCGTTTAAACAACACCCAGCCGAGCATCCTGCGAATGG